CAGGAAAATTAAATACAGACACACAGAAATAAAAATTCAAAAACTAAGAAAAGGGCCAACTTAATCATAGGGGCAAGGCTGGAGTTGATTATTATATCCCAGAATTTAATCAGGAAGATTGAATCACAACAGAACATAGATTAAGTACATGAGACTGAACTGGTGAAATAGAATTTTATGACTTTTGACTAAAACAATGCTGATTTTCTTCTAGGTTTTGTTTTCTGGTTTTAAGGATTTTTGTCCCATGTTGGGCTGCCAATAGGTTTATGTACCTACTATTTGAACAGAATTCTAACCTGTTTCCTGGATTTAAGTTTTAAGAAAAGTTCTTTAGCATTTCTTTGATTTATTAAAGCTAAAACTGCTTTTTTTTGAAATAAAAAATATATTAAAAATACCCATTTAATGACCATGTTAAGCTATATTAGCACCAGCTAGGTACTACCTTATAGTATATTTATTCTACTCAGAGTTTCATGCCTAAAGTCAGACACGTATTCACAGATATGTATATACCAGCTGAACTTGCTATTAGATTATTTAAGAAATTTTGTGACTCAATAAAAAGTGGGGGAAAAAAGGAATGGAAAACAACTGTAGATACCTGAGATAGTGTGGGAGGAGGGGGAAATGACAGGGTGAGGGATAGGGGTAAAATAATATTTATATATATATATATGGAAAATTATTGATGATAACATGTATGATTAAGCCACTATGCAGTATATTCTGGGTGGGAAATCACATTTTGTATGCTGTGATGATGCTCAGAGAATGACTGTAAATTAATTAATTAATTAATTAATTAATTTAAAAAAAGTTTTAGGAAAAAAAAGTTTGGAGGGGACCAGCAGATGGCGTAAAGGTTACATCACCGGACTCCCACATGACTGACTGCAGTTTGAGTCCTGGACCAAAGGCTTGAAACTCACTCCAGGCGCATATGTGTGCATGCCCCAAATACTGAGAGTTGATTGGAAGAGAGGGGATTGTGGCATGGCTCTCCTCCCAGGGGGTGATTTTTTTCTTTCTGTCTCCCTGTCACTCTGGTGAGTGCACTCATCCTGTAGCCCTATGAAATCTCTCTAAAGAAACAATCTTTTTCATCTTTTTTCTTTAAATAATTTATTTTATACATTAATCATTATACATCACCTGGCTTATAAAGTAAATTTACCCAAAATATACACATCTCACACCAGTCCAGCTGAGGATACTATAGGTATCATGAACAGACATCTGTCCATTTCTGTGTCCCTTAAATGTCTTGCCTCTCTGTTTTTCTCCTTCATTTCCTCTATCACACACTCCACCCTCTTTCCAAACTGTTCCAGTATCTACAAGAATTTTTCATGCTTCTATATTCTCTAATCTTTCAGTTTCTGCCGTAAGAGTGTAGATAGTAGGTATTATTAAGTGAAGACGTATAATATGTGTCTTTCATAGCCTGGCTTGCTTCACTCAGCAGTAAATCTTCCATATTTGTCCACTTTTGATCAAATGTTTTGTCGATAGAAAGGATCTTGTTATTTTATATGACTGAGTAGTATTCCATAGAATATATGTGGCACACTTTTTCAGTCCATTCATCTGTTCATGGACATTTGGATTGGTTCCGTGTCTTAGCATTTCTGAGTAATGCCACAAGAAAAACATAGATAAGCAAGCACTTTTCTAACTAAGTGTTCTCCTATCCTTTGGGTAGATAACCAGGAGTGGAATTCCTGGATCATATGATAGTTCTATTTGTAGATCTTTGAGGAACCTTCATATCGTTCTCCACAGTGGCCAAACAAATTTACATTTCCACCAGCAGTGTAGGAGAGGTCCCCTTTCACCACAGCCCCACCAGCACTTATCATTTTTTGTTTTTCAATCTTAGCTTTTCTGACAGGGGTTAGGTGGTA